CCGTCCCTAGCGCGAAAATCTTCCCAAAAAAAAAAAAAAAAAAAAAAAAAAAAGGTAACGTAGCCTGTGCTATGGGACCTGGACATTCCTTGCCCTTCTTGGGATCTTTTTTCCATGTAAACTAGAAGAGGTGGGGTGGGAAGCAGATGCCTTTCAGGGGCCTTTCTAGCCCTAACAGAGACACTGGCCTCCCCCAGGACAGATCTCTGCAGCAGGACAATGAGCAATCTGGGGAAGTCAAGTCAGGAAGTGATTGCAGAGTGTCTGCATGTACCAAGGTTGGTGGGGGGACATGAAGCAGGGGTGGGACAGGAAAGTGAAGCACTAGCGTGTGTCACAGGAGTGGCTGAGATCATTGGAGAGGAAAGGAGCAAGTCACATGAAAAGAAAAGAGGGTATGCCCCAGAGCACAGGTCACAAGGGACAAGTTGCCCAGAATCTGTGACCAGTTTCGGGCTTCTGCCCCCAAGTTATGCCTGGGCCAAGATGCAGAGGGGGTCAAGCAGGCCTAGGACTCAGTTTTCCCCTGACACTCTGACTCCATGAATGAAGACGGGCAAGTGGCACTAAGTGACTGGAGAAGGCTGATCCTGGATTCCTCTTGCCACAGGTGACAAGTACTGGGTATTTAAGGAGGTGACAGTGGAGCCTGGGTACCCCCACAGCCTGGGGGAGCTGGGCAGCTGTCTGCCCCGTGAAGGCATTGACACGGCTCTACGCTGGGAACCTGTGGGCAAGACCTACTTTTTCAAAGGCGAGCGGTACTGGCGCTACAGTGAGGAGCGGCGGGCCACGGATCCCGGCTACCCCAAGCCCATCACCGTGTGGAAGGGCATCCCACAGGCTCCCCAAGGGGCCTTCATCAGCAAGGAAGGATGTACGTAAGGGCTGGGAAGGGGGAAGGGGTAGGGGTTGATTTTCTGTGGTTCTCATCAGGGCCCACAGGCAAACTCTTAGGGTATCTGGGTTGGAGAAACACCACCTGGTGACAGACAACTGCCTCCTAGCTCATGTTCACACAGAAAATTCCTCCACTTACCACCTACTGAGTCACAGCTCTCCATCTTTAGGAGTGACTCCCAGTTGAGACCGACTTGGTTCCTTCAAACAGCATTTCTCAGACAGTGGTCCTCAGGTATACTCTAGGGGTTCCTCGGATTACCAAGTCTGAAAAGCAATGATGGGATATGGATGGTTCAAAGGGACTTGAGGCCAGGAAGATGGAAAGCAAAGCTTTTTTCCCCCTCCAAGAGATATTTCCTAAACTCCTCCTGGAGGCCAGGCTGGCAACAAGCCTCTAGGGCAGCCAGCAGGTGCTCCCAGCCTGTCTTCCCACCAGATAGGAGCTTCTCAGGAGGAGCTGGTCTTGCCAGGTGTGGAGTGGGTAACCCTGAATCTTTATTAAATACCCTCCTCCATTGATCTGCTCAGAAGCACAGGCTTGTGCCAATCTGGCTGGATTTAAACACAGTACTTCTGCCAATTACTATGAAATCCAGCAAATCCCTTAAGTTTTGGTTCCTCATCTATAAAATGGACCTAAAAATGATAGCTACTTTTTTTTTTTTTGAGAGGTTTTTGCTATAGGGCGCGTGCGCTCGCCAGACAGACACAGAGAGACAGAGAGAAAGCGAGAAATCCCCCCCCCAGGGGGGGTGGCCACACCACAATCCCTTCTCCTCCGTTCTCCTCTCGGGATCTTGGGCACGCACGCACACGCACCCGGCGTGAGTTTAAGCCACCAGGTCCGAGACTCGAACCGCGGTCAACTACGTGGGAGTCCAGCGACATAGCCATTATGATAACTGCTGGTCCCAGATACCTACTTTTATATAGTGGGTTTATGAGGATTAAATAAGATATGTAAGAGCACTAAAAATAATGCCCACCACTATAAAAGTCTTAGCTGTCACCATCATCATCTTGCTTTATTTCAGTTTACAAGGAATGACAGGATTCGAATGAATTCACTCACTCCACAATTATTTCTGAGAGCCAACTTGTGTGGTAGGGGCTGGGGATGTAGCAAAGAATAAGACTTGCCTAGTCTAGTGGAAGAAAACAAACAGGTGAAAACAATGTCATAAGGGAAATAAATGCCGTGGAAGAGTAAGTAGGCAGAGGGGGCTATGTTAGAGACAATTGTCAGGAAGGGCTTTCTGAGGAGGTGTCACTAGTTAAGAAAGCCAATGGCCACAGGGGCAGAGCTGCTATTCATTGGCTCCTATGTACCCAAGGCTGTATACACGTGGTCTCCCTGTTGGAGTAGCCTCAGAGACAGGTGACATCAAAGACCCTGACCAATGAAAGTTTCAGCCAGGATAGGGAGCCAGCCAAAGAGAAAAATCTGATCAAGGACCTTGACCAATGAAAGTCTCAGCCAGGGGGAGCTGGCCAATGAGGAGAGGCTGAGTGACTTGTGCCATCTGTGGACCTGCTGGGTGGCAAAGGCTGTTGTGGGAGCCTTGGGGTGGCTGCCCAGGGAATGACTGGCAAGGCTGCCCAGCCCCTCTGCCAGAAGGGTCCCAAAGCCCTTGCATCTCTGTTGCAAAGTGACGTGTGCCAAGCCAAAAATACACATACGCACACATACGCACACATACGCACACACGCACATCTCCATGATCATTGTGGAGAGGTAGAATCTGCTTTCAACAAAAGGAGAATCTTGCTCCCTGCCTCCCTCAGC